TATTGAACACTGACTTATTTTTCTTCCAAAATTCGTAAATAATTGAAGAGTTATGAGTGTAATCATAAAAGTACATTTCATTTATTTTTATCTTCAATTGTCTTTAAAATTATAAAGATCGGTTCATTATTTTAAAAATAGAATTGACACATCAGAAAAATGCATGTCTAAATTTATGTAATGATAATGTAATTTTTAATACAAACAAGTTATTTCATTTTAAAATATATCGATTTGTAGACGTTAACAAATACAACTCGAGGTGAAAAGTATGAATATCTCTTTTTCAACCACAATACACATAAGAAAGTTATTCATCCTAAAAAGGTTTTGAAATAAAATTGACATTATATATATTTTTATTTATTACAAATACAAAAATTGTACTTTTACAACAAACTGAATTTATGTATTAAGAAACTTCCCATAAATTATCAAAACATATTGTTGTGCTGTCAGCTACTGTTCAGTAAATTAATAAAATAAAATGATTTGTAATTAGTTACTGAACGGACGCTTGCGTGCCAAAGTGCAGTTACATTAAGCCAATATACGTTATTGGAGCAAATGCAACGCATTCACACGACTAATTTTAACATATTATCTACTTGTTATTTTATGCCATCATTTTATTACATTAAACTATAAAGCTGAATGAAGTAGTGTTTTGCTTTTTTAATAGTAAATAAAAAAAAACATAACCCACTTTCATTATGTTTTGACAATGACAGTAGCTAAAATAATCAATTCAATTTGAATATGCCATATTTTAAAATATAGCTTTATAATTTTAGCTGTGATAAAGTAATAAAAAAGGTGTAAACATTATATTAAGACGCCATTACGGAGTAGCAGGGCAATTTGCATTCCATTAAAGTTTTTTAGATTCATTCAGTGAAGAGGTATCGCGTAACCAAAGCAACGGTCTCGGAATCAAATGAAGCCGTCGACCCCGTGCTGACAGACTACAGAGTATTGCACGAAACTATTTCATAGATTGACGTTCGATTATGACCATTTAATACATATGAATATGCTGAACTATTTCTAATTAAAACTATAATAAAAATTCGTTTCAAAATATGGAACAAATTTCATTTTGTCTTTTTACTAATCAAAACAAAGTCCAGTATCCTACGTCCTACCTCAAAGCAACTCTGATGCAGTGTTTTAAAGGCACGTGGTATGCCCATGCATGGCATTTATAAGAAAAAAATAATGCAGCTGCCAACATTTGCTCGTTATTTCCTGTAGAGTAATTTCTTATAAATATTTTATTGTAACTATCACCATAGCATATATACTTATAGAATAATAATCTAGTATTTATTTTATGATATTTCATACATTCATAGTTTTTATTCCTAGTGGCATTATTAACAGACTGTATTGTAGGTTATAAATAATGGGTTAGATTTTCAATACAATTAACAATATTCATACAATTTTATACATATGTATATAAGTATTAAGCTACCTTGTTCACACACGCCTCTCGACCGCTGACAAATTGCGCTGCGATACAACGACCGTTATTCAACTAATTGGCGACAATCAAGCCTCAACTCTGTGACGGAGAATTCTACTGTAACTTATAAACATAATAATTTTGAATTTTATAAGTTTCTAAACTGATATACGTATTTATATTTAATAATAAAAAGCTATTTCTAAACTGAAAATACAAACAATTGAGATATACAGCCAATATCATTATTAATTTTTTAATGGAAAATATTTAAAAGGGATATTCAAGTTATCACAGTTTACCCAAAAATTCTTTTTAACAGACAGAACAGTAAACCTAATAATTGACGTTCACGTTGTACCTAGCTGTAAACGTAATTTTACGATTTTCGTTTATTCATAGCGGTTTCTGTACTGTGCGACTGTACGCGTTCAAACAAAAGAAAGTTACGCTAGATCGGCTGTTCCCTCAACCCTAACGTTCGCACGGCCCGCGGAAGTACAATGTTTATAAAGCAAAAACTAAACGCACAATACCATAACGTCTCCAGAGACATGGGAGAGCGGTGCTCCGCCTTTTGTAAACTATAAAAAATTATCTGGATATACCTTATTCGTATTCATAAAGAGATTTCTAGTATAGGTACCTACTTACATTGTCGTCATACTTTTGTGTTTTTTAATGTTTTTTTTACTCACAATGTGAGATAGCAATATACATACTTTATATTTCAGAATATACGTTATTAATAGTTGTAAATTATTCAAACAAAAGAATTATTAACAATTATGGCAACATTATTACTAGACATTTAAATATATATGTATATATATATATTTTTAAGTAAAATATTTTAAAGGATTTTTTTTAAGTCATATAATACTATAGAATTCAGCGTTATATCTAAATGTTACAGTAAATGTAAAAATATAACAAATACCATTAAAACCTTCTCTATTTATTCTATAAACTAAGGATATTTTTTTAAGCATCAATAATGACATCTTAGGAAATCCCCCGCTATTTCCTCGTACCTACGTCAAATTTCCTGAACGGACGCCATTGAATAAAATAGCAATTGCGTAACAATTTTTTTCCTTAAACAGTAATAATAATAATAAAAACAAAATATGAAGAACAAACGTCTAAAGATCATAGACAACGTGCTGTCATACTATTAAAAATATTTTAAATACAGATTGCATAAATATTGCTGATAACAAAGTGTTTAATTTTTAAAGTATAAAAGTACTATGCATATGTATTTATGCCAGGCATTGAATTACGATATCTGCACGTGTCCTTATTGTACAAGTTAGCATATCATAGCCAATAATTATATATAATAACCAAATTCATGTTGAGTTGATATAAAAAAAAATCGTTATATAATGTAGCGTTAGTAGAAAATTATTACGTAAAACCTTGACTGGAATTCGAAGGAATTACTTTATAAGCTTCATAAAACTCTTCTTATAGCAATTCGTTATATTTTTATATTCTAAGCATTTTTTCAGAGTAAAAAAGAATTGTACAGCTACAGGTATATTATTAATTAACCGTCATTTTGGAGTCTTGGAGTAAGCGCTAGGGTAGATTTTTTTCTTGGAATTTTCTACCTGTTATGATACCTGCTTGGTTATCCTACCCAGAACGCTGTTAAACGTTTCCAAAACGTTAAGAAGAAAGCGTTTACCTTGGAAATATATGATACAAAAATGGTAGCAATTAGGAACCCATTTTTACGGAATTATATACTCTTTAGGAGCTATTAAAATAAATAGTAGTAAGTTAGAAATACTTTTCAAGTATGTAAGTTTTGCATATTCCTAATTATTTTGATACATTGAACCGGAAAGTTTTTATGAAAACCATAGGCCCTCTTTTTTGTATTTACCGGAGTCGATCGAATGCGTAATAAAATAACATGTAATATCCGTTTTGCTATGAATTAATATAAAATAAAGATTTATATTAAAGCATTAAGATAATTTAAAAACTGTTACAATAGATATAATCTTAAACACAATGTATAATAAATGAATAGTGGACATGTTATGTAGTAAATTGTAAGGGAAGGTTGTAAGCGTCAGGTTGTCGGCCTCAGCCTGTGACGTCATCACACTGACCACTCAGGGACCCGCACACAATGGCCTTTCTTAGAAGGAGCAGATGCGCTCGCAGCTAGACCTCATACCTCCATTATTTATGGTGCAATAGCTACAACTTATATTATGAAATAACAACGTTCGTACCGAGCGCAATCTCGACCGGCCTCAACTAAAACGTTTTTTGTTACTATCAACGATACGAAAGAAAAAAAAAACCATCACAAAAACCCACCGTAGGAAGCAGATAAGCTGAGCGGAATTTTACGACATAACGACGGTACGGGCAGGTAGACGCTGATTACTTAGCCAGAACGCGTACCTGCTGCAAGGTATCATTAGTAAGGTACACAGGTAATGATACCCACGGAACGACCGGCGCCGCTGTCCCCGAGCCGCACGACGATCATCGCAACTTCCATGGATGAGTGTGGATCTAGTCATGATGCAAGAAAAACATGCACTAAACCTCCACTCATCGAAAGAAATTGACCTTTGTGCTGCTCAGTCCGCTGTACGTCGCACTTCACTTATCCTTTTCGATGTCACGTTGCACCGAATAGAACGTCCATAAGCACGTTGCCGTGTTTAAAAAACAAGTATGAGAGAACGGCCGCGTCCAACGAACGGGACGGGCGACCGCGCGCACCGGGCGTCCAAACCGAAATAAACGGTCGAGATTTGAAATCTGGGATTGTAGACGCTGCGCGTACGCCGGCAAGGGGGGAGCGGCGGCCCGCATCCACCAATCGGGGGCCAGCGCGCGCAAACCGTGACGAGGTGGGGCGAGCCGCGGCTGAACGCCGTCCGATATTATCTTTTCTTAAAGAACGTTATTTTCTTTCTTTCCTACTCCCTCGTCCGTTCAACCGACAACGGAAGTGAAATAAACGTGCGCGTAAACTACAGCCGTGATGGTTGTACCACCTGCCGTAATACCTTACATACATACAGATACGATTCATATTAAATCTTTATGTACGGCATACTGTATATTGTATGATGAATAAAGTCATTCTTAATGCTGAGGTTGACAGTAATGAAACATCATACATTTATTACAAAACATTTATTACCGAAAACTGTGACAATGACACGTTTCTCGGAATACAAAAATTAAAGCAGCACTCGACAGTAATGTTTCACAGTATTGATTTTTAATAAACATTTACAATTCACATTCCGTTTACGTACGATTATAAACTCTATTACGTGTTATATAAGAAACAATTTATATAACACAAATATTAAATATAAAATTACAAGAGACTGCCGTGAGAATAATTATTGTAAATGCTTAAACATGGCTTCTTGAGTTTAAAAAATTACTTTAAAAATAAAATTAAACTTTGATTTTCATTGACTGATAGTTAAGATATTTAAGCAGAATTGTCTCTGAAATAATCATATAGTGTTATCAAATTTTATGGGTTATTATTAGCCATAATGACGGTACAGCCAAGGTCTGTTAGCTGCATAACCTCAGCTCCACCTTCCAATAGTCGATGAGAGCACACAGCCACCTTCTCACTTATCACACACTTCTGTTTGTTAGTTAAATGTCCAGCATTCACCACTTTTTCTGATAGCTGTTCCAATAATTGAGATGCTGAGTACGCCTCCATTAGAAAACTAAAAAAATATAAAGATTATTAGCACTCATATTATTTTTAGTTACAATTTCAAGAACATTATATTCTTACTTCTCAACAAATTTCTCCAACTCATTGTAATTTTTCACATTTAGAAATTCATCAACTAGATTTTCAGGTACAAGTCCAGTCACCTACAAAATAATATATTTTATTATGAGATCAAATCAGGGTTGCATGTTACAAATAATTTACTTATACATATAAAATAGTCATTATAGTCCAGGTGTCTAACAAGAGCAAACTAAAAATATGTTCAAATGATATTTTTTTTAATACAAAACAAAGAAATAAGTTTGACTATAAAACACAAGAAAAGAATAATTTTATTGTATATTGTTTTGATTATTAATAAAAAAATATAACTTAAAACTTAAACATTCTGGAATCTTATAATTCATAGTACATATAAAACCGATAGAATTATTAAGTGATGTGAATTCTGTAACAAACAAAATTATTTTGTAAAGTAAAACTTTTAAATGTCAATAGATAAATCTATGTACCCCATGTAAAAGAAGGTTTCATACAAGAGTAACTTTCCAAAGGTAACATCAATAGAACATTTATTAAATTATATTTAAGATAAGACATTCAAATTAAATACCAATTTTAAGATTTTTTATGTTTATAGAAGATGGTAAATAAGTTTCTTGTTATGGGATAGTTTTGTTTAAAACTTAGGACGAATCTTCTCAGCAATTATGATTCAATGGATTCATCATATGGATGCCGGGTCCATCGTTGCAGGGAGAGGAGCTTCAACAGTGCCTGGGACTTGCGACCCAGGTGTAGGTTCAAGGGACCTTTATCTAACGATCAATGCTTTGTTCAATGCTCACTTCACTTCAAACACGCTCATGTTTTCAAGAATGAAGCAATTAATTAATTATAAATTTTTATTTCTTTAGTTCTCATTAATTTTTTCATTCAATATTTTAATGTGTAAAGGATCTTGGGATTCCTAAGGGGCTTGATTAGGAGTCATATAGGAACTGCCTTTTATAGGATGACAAATAAAGATAATTTTCTTTGACATTAAATCTATACTGATATTATAAAATTGTTGAGTTTGTTTGCTTAAATCCGCTAATCTCAGAAACTACTAGTTCGAATTGAAAAATTCTTTTTCTGTTGAATAGACCATTTATCGAGGACGGTTTTAGGCTATATAACATCATGCTGCGACAAATAGAAGCGAAGAAACAGTGGAAAATGTTGAAAAAATTATGAAAATTATTCATCTTTAAGGGCTTCCGTTGTATGTGTTGCGAAAACGGTTTAAGATACCAAATAATATATATGAAAGAATTATTTTTCTTGAAACGATTTAAAAAATGTCCGCGACAGTATATGTCTATCTTTTAAGGTTAACTCACTAGAACCATTTTTATAATAATCAAATTTGGTCCATGGTACCATACCAATGCGTCTCAAGAGTACATTAAAATAAATTCTCTAAAATAATAACAAAAATTGATGCGGACAAAGTTATGAGCAACAGCTAAAATTAATAAAGCCAAGGATGTTGTTTGCAAAAATTAATATGATGCCCAAAATAATTATACCACGCGAACGAAGTCGCGGGCACAGATAGTTACATATAAGGAAGTTTACATGGAATAGACTATGTATAAACTATTATGTATAAAGATGTTTCATTGTCATCATCAGCCTATCAGAGCCCACTGCTGAGCAAAGGCCTCTTCTCACATGGAGAAGGTTTGAGCATTAATCACCTCACTTGTTCAAGATTTCAAACTTGTAATGGTGAAATTATAAGTCCATATGTCCTCACGATGTTTTTCTTCACCGTCTGTCAGTGATGTCTAAATACTCTTAGAAAGTACATATGACAAGGAAAAATCACATTGGTACTTGCCAGGATCGAAGCCGCACCCTCGTGCACGAGTTGCGGGCCTTTAACCACTAGGCTACCACCGACTATACACCGATAATAAACTATTATTCTTCTAAAACCTTCTCCATGTGAGAATGAGGCCTTTGCTCAGCAGTGGGCGTCTGATAGGCTGATGATGATGATGAAACTATTATTTATCCAAGTAAGCAATGACAGCGCTTTATGTATAAAGATGTTTACACACCTCAATTAATCCATCAGCTGTAATTTTGCCGAGTAAGCGCTGACAGCATTGCAGCGCTGTAAGCGCTCGTCGTAGATCTCCCCCGCATGTGTCTACAGCTTGATGGAGTACTTCACCATCACCAACATCGACAGCCTCTGATTTACATACATCTTGTAATCTGTATATAAGAACATTAATAGGTTAACAAATATACATATCACTTGGTATTTATAAACTAGCTTTTCGCCGCGACTATATTCGCTTTGAATTGAGAAGTAGGCGCAGAAAAAAATTGACAACGTGTACTTCAAATTCATACATTAAATAAATTGTTGACAATATAATCATGTGAATTCATGATAACACAATTTTTATATTATAACTATAAGGGAACAGAGCAGAGTTTTGGGTTAAATTGCAACCCATGTTATTTTGATATCTAAGCTACATCATTGTATAGTTTCATCAGAATTGGTTCAGTCGCTTTTTGTTTAATAGATATAAACTTCCATACAACATACTTTGGCATCAATAAGTTTGTTCAGTTAAAATGACGAAATATTTATAGGAAAACAGTACATTTATAAATATACAGGGTGACTGGTGAATTACTATCAATATTTAAGGAGCATACTCGGTACATGATTCTCATTCGAATTATGTAAAAAAAATAGGTACTTAATTTTTGACAAAATTTCCGTATAAATAAATAAAGTGTTGACACGTTCCATGTGTTCCAAGTGTGGACGCGTGCGGCGGCGTGCTGATACAACACAACGCCGCCGCACTCGTATGTGTGAGTGTGTGTGAATACCTAATCTGTAGGGTGTTTACACGATGCGTAATTAATTACATAACTTTTGGTTAACTTTACTTAGAAGTTTATTAATATTTATGTTATATTAATTTTTATTTTGTCCATATATGATCGTCACAAATCACGTCCTCAAGTATCGATAGTAATTCACCAGTCACCCTGTATAATTCTGCTTTCACAGCATTATGAATAATAGTATGTATTGTTTAAATATATTAACAGTTTTATGCTAAGTAGTCTAAAGACATTAAATTTCCCAGAAAAAAGACATTATACTTCTTTGAAAATATGTAAAGTTTAATATACTATAACTTGTTGCATCATAATTATGTAGATATCATTATATACTGTTTAACAACACTACAGTTAGTAATTACTCCCAACAAATTTTATACAGAGCCTATTAAGGGCAAAATCCTCCTCTAAATGTAAACAATAGTTTTTTTTTTAACCCAGCCTTCTTCAAAGATTTCAATAACATCTCCTTGTGGTTGCTGCAGGCCTTACGGGATTTGGTAATTTGCAATTTTATTTAGGTAGAATAGTTGTAGTGTTTTATCAGTAGGTGAAAAAGGGGAACTAAAAATTAATGTATTCTCAAAGTGAGCAGTAAACAAAATAAGTTTGTGAACCGCTGATCTAACCTCTTGATAACATTCTCCCTCGCCAGTGGTTTGAATCGAAACTTCGAACATCTGCTGGTAATTGGTGGAATGATTCTCGATACATAATTACATATGAGACAAAATCGTGTAGTTCTCGTCTCTCTCTCCATAGTTCGTCGTAAGGCTGCCTGCGCTGCTGTCGTCATTGAGTCTGCTTCATCCAAGATAACCAGTTTGTATGGCGGGCATGGTCTGCCACTGAAAATTTTAATATTAACACATGAAAAACTTATAAGAATTTCAATTAAAAACATACTTAGAAGTACTATAATATGTTATTTCACTTATATACGCATTTTGTTTGAAATTGGGCATAAATATTAATGTTATCATATAAATTAATATTATTATAAAGTATGTACATTTTAATGCTTATTTTTCATATTCAAGTAATGAATTAATGTTATCATATAAATCAATATTATTATAATATATGTATATTTTAATACTTATTCTTCCTTTTCAAGTAATGAATTAATTTCATAGATTAAAATAATTAATATTTCAACCGCTTTAATTTCAGTAACATATTTTTATTCTATGTATGTTACAACTCAATAGCTATATGACAATAACAATAACTTGAACAACTTACTCTGGTCTTGTATTGCTGACTGTAAGTTGGGCAAATGTTTTCACTTTATCTCTTATGACTTGTATTCCTCTTTCATCTGAAGCATTCAGTTCAAGAACTCGATCTCTAGTAATATCTCCAAAGAGCTGTCTAGCAGCTGCCAAGATAGCACTTGTTTTACCAGTTCCTGGTGGACCATAAAACAACAGATGTGGTAAGTCACCACCAGCGAGACATTCTCTTAAAACTTGAACCACTTCTCCTTGATCAACGATATCGTCTATAGTTCTTGGACGGCTATAATAAGGAGCGAAATCAGTTAAAACATATTCATGTTGTATTAATTATAAAGTGTATCAAACTATTTAATTTCCTTACTATTTTTCAACCCATGGAGCTGGAGCCTTTTTCTTTGTCGATTTAACTCCTGAAGTAGATGGTTTATCAGTAGTTGATATTTTGCCTGTTTTTAAAAATGCCTGCATTTTTAAGCAAAATGATGTAAATCTTGTTCCAATACAAATTCCAAAACCACTGGCGGTAAAAATTGGCAGATTCAAGTTTCAACCTAAACATAGAAGTCAAATTCAGGTTGTCAGCTGTTGATGCGTTCGTTAAAATAACAATATTTTTTTTATTATATGAATTAAATTTTCTAATATATGACTAATGATTTTCTATTTTATGTAAATATGAAAATATATTTTTCAAAATATCAATAAAAATTGTTATATTAAACTTGGTTTTCGGTCCACTATTTATTACCTATGTATTATCTATGTTTACAAGTTAGATTGTCAAATATAGCCGGTAAGGACGGCAATCATTGAGGCGGCAATCGAATCAAAATAATATTTTGGTATTAGAGGAAATAAAACAATAGTAATATGACGACTAGATCTAAACGTAAAGCCGAACCACCAGAATCTAAAGATGTACTTACTAAAAAACGTATAGAAAACTCTTGGATATTACTAGTCAAAGGTACGAAGTGGATAAAGTATTTAATAAGTGTTTACCTTTAATGAATTTATTTTAGAAATTGATTTATTCCAGAGGATCTCTTGAAAAATGATAATTTCAGTATAATAACGTTGCCGCATCCCGCTCATGGAGGTCCATCCAAATACTGTTTAGATCAAGCCAATCTTAAGATATACGAAATCGTAACTTTTAAGGAAGACTATCGTTCGTGGTTTATTGATGATACAGTTAAGTCCGACGGCAGTCTCATGATGGTGACACCGATTAACCCTCTGTTTTTAGGTATAAAAAATTTATATATAGCAATCATTACATCCTTTAATTGAATAACATTTTAGAGAACAGTAATACCCCGCTTTACGCGATGGATACGTTCCGAAGAAAATCGCGTTAACTGAAATTCCCGTATATCGAGGATTATGATTAAACACAGTCAAAATTTAATACACAAATATAAAAATCATTTTAATCAATCACTTTAATTCTCAGAACACTATACTATACATAGGTACTCCTATTTTTTACGAAAAAATACATGTATTGTCTTTTGGGTAGCTTTTTGTTTACTTTATTATAAAATATGTTCATAACACCAAACACTGTTTTTAATCGTTTGACACACATTCAAGACACGGTCATCATCATTGTCTATACTCTGCAATGTCCGAACCTGAATAAATTTTTGAAAATCGCATTATAGTGAAACCGCAGACAAAAGAGTCGCGTTAAGCGGGGTATTATTGTAGTTAATGCAAGAATAACATCACATCACAATATGAAATGTTGTAGGATTGTTATTTCATTAGTCAATTATGCTGTATTTTATCTTACTCTATTAGGACAATGTTTATATCCAATACACTTAAAATAGAAATTTTATTTATTAAAAATTTTTCTTTCAGTTTTACCTAAATTGAGACAAAAGTGTTGTGATAGGGCTATGCCATTAGAAGATTTACTATCAGAAAAGGGTTTTGATAAGCTTATCAGCTTTTTTAATGATCTTAATGCTATTGGAGATTTAAAGGTGCTTATTCAATAAAAAAATGTATTAATTCTTATATACTACAGGCAGATGTATAATCTACTTTACTATATTTAGGGTTCAGCAGATCTGAAAGCATATAAGTATAATGAAGAAAAAACCCTAATGTGGCTGGAACAGAAAATTAGGAAACTGTCACAAATTTTAAAAGATAGAAATATACATGTGACTTCTGGAGCGATATCTGCTACATTTGTGGCTAGTACTGTAAATAGTGACAAAGTTGATGAAGGTGTGGTATAACAATACAATATTTTACCATTAAAAAACAAAAAAATAACATATTGAATGAAATGATCCACTAATTTTGATATTTGCTTGAAGCATAAGGCCTATGAAAGTCAACTTGGTTTGAATAAAATATTTAAGTTCTTTCATTCATAAATATATTTTTTACAGAGTTTTATCTTAAATACGCCCATGGTATAGTATCAGAATATTTAGAAGATCATTTAATCAAGTTATTGGAAGAAAGATTTAATTTCAAATCTGACTTGATTGAACAAGTTGGTAATAAGAGGAAGTCGGAAATGGGAGACAGTAATGAAATCATGAAGAAAATTAAATTTGAGGCTGATGAAACAGAAAATAAACCTATTGTAAATAATGTAGTACCAGATGTTAAAAAACCTAAACAATTAACATCTAAAGAAAAGGCACGACAGAAAGCTGCTAGTGGTACCAAGACAATATCATCTTTCTTTAGTAAATCATGATAGTGTGTAATAAAAATTATAAGTTTTTATTAGAATATTTTATTTTTTATTCTATTTAATATTACAACCTAGATATTTATTCCCACATGGTTCTCAAGTATATCTTCTAATTAAGTAAACTAAGAATAATCTGATATGGCTCATGCACAAAATTTGTTATAATATTAATTAATAATAGTATAAAGTTTTTGTGTTGGTGTATATTGTAAAGTATAAGTCACATGGTAACAAATATTCAAACGTAATTTGTCCAATGGCAACACCGCGTCGTCGCCATTGCTACGTCCATATTCGTTAATACTTTTTAATTCTGTCGGACAGTGAGTAATTCTTTAAATATTACTGACTTTTTTTTTACTTTTAAGTGATTTTAGGACACACTGGACATTGTGTAGTGTAACTCATGTGATTTGTGTTGTTATTGTCGTGAGTGAAGACTTTAATAAGTGCAAAATACAGTAAAATCGCGGCCAATGTCAGCAGGCGTGTCAGATCAGGTATTTCACATTAGCTATTATTTGTGCATTATTTACGTTGAATTATAGTTATTTTCTGTGGTATTTATATCGCATCGTTTCTTGTTTCATGTTTGTATGGCGTGTAGCGGATGAAAGGGCAAGGGAATCAAGGTAAAGACTTGTCATTATGACGTTGCAGGTGTTTCTTGGTAGGAGGACCTCGTACCGGTCGGCTTGCGAGTAACATCCGGTAATACGAGATTATGATGCCGTCTTGGCGTCAGAGCATAGTCTTTTTTGTTTTGTTACTTAGTTAAACGTAGATCTCGTATATAACGCCTCCAAATCAATCTATTTCCTAAATGCATTTAAAATACATCTGTTGCTTTGAACTTACATGTAATCGTGGATGATTTTTTGTTCCAATGCATTATTAATTATCAATGAAATGTAGTTTTGATGTTGATTGATTTTAAATTGTTATGTATACTATTTATCATACACATAAACATTAGTTTATGGTAATGATTATTGACTGGAAATTATGTAATATCAAGTTGTTTTGCGATAACTTATTTGTTTTAATGATTTATATTATTGTTGAAAAGATAAGTAATTTTTATTGCTTGAAAGAAATTAGTTAAAAACACTTTATTCACAATTCTTATATTTATATCATAAAAATGTTGTTGTTAAAACATACATTGATTGTAAGTTATCAAAGCTAGTCAAAGTTTTTAAAATATTTTTTAATGAAGACTCATATTTTATAATATATGTATAAGCCAACTTTTCTATTATAGAATTATGGAGAAGATTCATTGGTTTATTGTTTAAAAGAATAATAATGACCAATCATAATATTAGTGATTACCCTACTGTCATTGGTCACTATTATTGTTATTTAATTTAATTCATCCTTTAATATAAATAACTTAATATATCATATATGTGTCATTAAGTTATTATGATCTATAAATACTAGTTTTATTCATATTTTTCGAAAAATAGATTTGTAATTCAGATTAGATATTATTAGGATTCTACATAAATTTTATTAAATAATAATTAATAGTTACTGTAGAATTATTTGTTAAAACATGTGTGATGTAATAATTTTATTAGTTTATATATAAAATGTCATTTTAATTTGTGTATAAAATAAGTATTATTATACACTAACACTAATTGCCGCAAATAATGATGTATTGTAATATTAATTGAAACACTTGAGTGCATCACAAAAACTTAACAATATGTAACATGTGTTATGTATTGTTATTTCAGTATGTACTATGTTTTTTTAATACTTTTTAACTTCTTGCTTTCATTAATGTACATAAGAATATATAATCTTAATAAAAATATTTGGTTTTTACTTTTAAATATGATACCGATAGTAAACCATTTGTCGTCTTGCCATATTTATATTTAAATTTTATTATAAACCATTAATCAATGTATATAAAAATTCCAGTTACAAATGTACCTAAAGAGCAGTTAGAGAGTGGTGGTGACGAGTTGGCGGAGTCATGGCGTCATCATCAGCAACCATCGTACGCGCCAGCCATCTCGTCAGCGACGGAGCCCTACAGCGCGGCAGGTAGGTACATACATTCATATTAATATCTATATCATAGATCATAGTTTGTACACCTGCTTCATCAAAATATATCATATCTAGCTACCTTTTGCTTCATATATTTTTTTGTAATCATGGGTCATTAAAATGATAATGGTGCTTTCAGGTTATTATGGTACAACAGCACTTCCTTATCAGGCCTTTGGAGTTGGGGATGGAACATGGTCCACCAATGGAACAGATCCATTCGCTTTCCTTGGAGGATACAATCCTCACGATTCCTATGGCGTGGAGGGTAGCTAGTATTTATTCCAAACAAGAAAAACAAATTCCTCCCCTTTGATAGCTTTTAAAACAGTCTTAAGCAGATTTGGTATGATATTTTATTTCTGACCTATTAGTTTAGAGTGAATTTTGGAGTTTCAAACAAAAATATCAAACTGGTTCTAAGAGAATAAGTAGTGTGACCCTGATTAGTTGCATCTTTTACATTTTAATCAAATTGCTCATAATGTAAATATTTTTCAGGTGTATTTGGGCCATCAACAACCCCCTTTTCAACAGCAGCATTTGGACAGCCAGCATCAACTTTTAACTATTTCCCTGGGAATGGTGATTACTCTACGTGGGGTCAATTAGGTCGTCCAAAACTGTACGATGATTACTATAGGAATGAGGGAATGTACGTCCCAGACGGGGTTAAAGCCGTTGACAGCGGTGTGCAGTCATTGTCGCTCTGCGAGCATATTAAGAGCGATAAAGATCGTACGCCCGAACTCAAAGACGTTTCTAGTGGATCGCAACCCAAAAAGATGACTTGGGCTTCAATAGCCAGCCAACCGGCTAAGCCGACTCCGTTAACACAGAGCGGAGGGCTCAAGAAGAAGGGACCTGGAATGCCACCACCGCCGATAATTCCAGGGAAACATAACATGGACATCAGCACGTGGGATGCTGGGAAGAATGCACCCGTCGCGAGTGCACCGCCGCCATCGCTTCAGCCGCCGCCGGTGCCAGCTCCTCTACCGATGCCGCAGCCGGCGCCAACGTCCGCTCCGCTACAACGTGGACCACCCCCGCAGCACCAACCGCCGCAGCACCAGCCGCCACCGTCATGGACTCACACCCCTCGAGCTCCTCCGCCGATGCAACCGCGCCCCATGGTGCCCCCACCGATCGTACCCGGGCCACTACAAACCGCACATCCCGTTCTAGAAGAACTACGCGTCAAGAATGAATATAACCCGAAGGAGTTCGATCTCAGTGCCCCAAATGCTAGGTTCTTTGTGATTAAGTCGTATTCGGAAGATGACATTCACCGTAGCATCAAATACGAAATCTGGTGCAGCACAGAACATGGCAACAAGCGTCTCGATGCTGCGTATAGGGACCGCGAGAGGGAGGGTGGTGCTGTGTATCTATTTTTTTCAGTAAACGGTAGCGGCCATTTCTGCGGTATGGCGCGTATGATTAGTGCTGTCGATTATAATTCTAACTCGAGTGTGTGGTCGCAAGACAAATGGAAGGGACAATTCCGCGTCAGGTGGATATATGTTAAGGACGTTCCTAATGTACAACTACGGTATATCAAACTAGAAAACAATGAGAATAAGCCAGTGACGAACTCTCGCGATACACAGGAGGTTCCGCACGCTAAGGGTCTGCAGGTGTTGCGTATCATGCATAGTTACTGTCATTCCACCTCCATCTTTGATGATTTTATACACTATGAACGCCGCCAGGAGGAGGAGGACTCGCGTAAGGTGCCTCACCACAACCCACAGGATAACAATCGGGAGGAGCACGAAGGTGGTGGTAGAGGGTATCGGAACTATCGTGATTTCCGTGACCACCGTGACGGTCGTGACGGTCGCGATGGTCGAGAAGGTGGTAGGGATGGTAGAGATGGTCGCGATGGTCGCGATCATAGAGAAGGCCGGGAGCCGAGGGATCATCGGGACGGTCGCGAGCCCAGGGAGCCTCGTGACGGTCGTGACCCTCGTGACCTTCGCGATCCTCGTGACTCACGTGACTCACGTGACCCACGGGACCCTCGGGACTCTCGGGACCACAGGGACGAGCGGGACGGACGAGACAACCGAGAACACGGAGCATACCGCGACAGGGACTATAGGCCGCACCATAAGGTTTGATTCAATCTTTATATGAATTGTCACATAAAGGGTACATGTGGGAGAAAGCAATATTGATGTTTATATACATAGCACAAGGACTGATATTAAAAATTATGCTTATATTTCAGGATCGCGACGGTTCCCGCGGGCGTGGAAGACCGCGCAACTGATTCTACGTTATGAGTGATAAACGTTTGAGGACTGGCTTCTCTCCATAGACAACTAGTACTCGAAAAATTGGTATCCCATTACGAGATGTTTATAGCAATGAGGAACTATTAAAAACGATTCAACTTACACAGTTGTATCCGAAGTTGAACTGTTGTTACATAAAAAATAGAATAATAATTGTTTTGAACAGTGCTTTGCAAAAAAAAAAACTTTCAATAAATTAAAATGTGCTAAATAATGTTTTATACTGGAAGAACATTTAATGATGCAATGACTAGTGAACAGAACATTAATTCGTAAATTGTCATGTGTTCATGTCACATGAGATATTGTGTGGAATTGTGGACATTCAAATTTTGTGGACAAAATCAATGAGGTATATGATTATATAACTAGGAAATTCTGTGGCGAGAGGGGTTGATCCTTTAAAGGACCGGTTATGATGAAACATGATGTGATTATCATTGTATAGTGCGATCCATGCACTATATGTTAGTGTGGTGTTTATACAAGACCTTTATGAACAGTGTTTAATGAATAACAGTAAAGAGTTTTTGGTGGGAACTTGTATAACTTTTGTAATGCAGGAGGAAATGTAATCACATGTGATGTACATGAAATTTTGTATACTGTTTTATAATCATAAAGGAATTCTCTCGTAACATTTATTTACAATATATTTAATACAGCCATGTAACATTATATTAATATGATATATTTTACATGTGACCATTGATATCATATAAAAAGATGAGACGTGGTGTTACTTGCATTATATCAAAACATCAAATTCAGATTGGTAGTAGATATGAAACAATTGTTCATACTATATAAACCTTTGTACATACTACATAATATGTATTTTAAAAGAAAAAGAACTATAGTACTATTTTTTACTTTTTAAGTGCAACAAAAGTGTAACGAGAGAAAATTTATTGAAAATGAAACTATCAATTTATACTGTATTTACATATTTTCTTAACCTTACCTTAGTTTTCCAAGTGCCTATTTGTTTTGAATTATAAGAAATCAACTCCTTGCATGATGTCTAACCCAATTCAGTTTTGAGACATTGCTTGGCTATGCCATCATATTTTTTTAAATATTTTTTGGTGTTGTTAACTTTTGTTACAACTAAGAGATTGAAACATTTTTATCAAATAAAAAAGAGATGTTACATGAAAAAAATTGTTAATTTCATTAAGTGTGCAGTAAATGTTAATTGTATAAAATGTTGTGAATTAAAGGGTTGAAACATGAAACATAATTGAATAACTGGATTAAACTGTCATAGACGTTGTCAATGCATTATTTTTATCCTAATTTATAAATATTCAGTAATCCATAAAATGACTATATTCTAGCTAATTGTATTTTATCCCCTTTCATCATTTTAATTCAACTTCAAACTTTTAGTTATTGTTATAGTTTTAAATATAACAAAACTTTCCAAAAAGCTTGTCTATAGATACGACAACTAAAAATTTTCCTTATCACTTTGAAACCATTGAATGATAAAAATTGCCTACCTTATTTAATTAGAAATTTTAATCTATTATGTAAGAATCGCTAGTAAAAAACCCGTCCTATAATTTTTTCAAGTGTAAAACTTTGTAACAATCCCAAAATATTCATCATCATCGTTATAGCCTATACCAGCCCACTGCTGATCAAAGGCTTCTTCTCACGTTGAGAAGGTTAGAGAATTAATCACCACGCTTGCTCAAGATGGATTGGCTATTGCAAACTTACGATTTCAAAATATCCTTTTAACCGTCTCTCAGACGTGTCTAAATACTCTCAGATAATATATATGTAATATGACTCCGAAAAAATCACATTGGTACTTGTCAGGTCTTGAACCATCGCCCTTAAGCATGAGAGGCGGACCTTTAACCTATAGGCCACCATGATAATATTAGTTCTATTTAAATGAATACCCGCGAAAGTCTAAATTTCATTTACTACAGTTGTGCCTGGGACTTTTGGACCAAGGTGTAGGTTTAAGGGTTCTCTATCTAAAGCGCCTTAAACGCTCCAAAGCGTCCAAGCTCCTCTCTGTACCTAAACAAATTTTAATTGAACCTACTATACGGCCGCCTTTTAAGCACGTTGCAAGATTTTAAAGCAAAAATTAGGAAAAGCATTCATGTTTTTTGCTATCCAAGATCTAGAGAATCGTTAAGTTAGGAATTAGTGACTATACCAAATTCCGAAATATATCTCATGAGAGATAATTTAAGATAAAAAGGTTTGGGAAGTGGATGGCAACGAATTTAGTAGTTTTGCTATAAAGTCTTATTATTGATTTAAATAAAATATGCATTAATAAGTTGCAGCTAGTCCAAATAATTTTCTAAAGCAATAAAATTAAGTAATTGTGCCAGTTTATAATAGTTATATTGAGGATTGATATAAATTTCAATATCTGGAAACAGTATTAGACTATATCAATAATAATTCCTTTAACACTACTTTAGAAACAAAACTTTCAATTTTAAAACAAAACTCTCTTTCTAATGATGTCTAACATTTTCGCCAGTATTGCTTTTAAAATGCTAATTTATAAGCTGTGTTTTTAATGTATATCTGTTGTTTTGCAAAAATATCAAATTTCAAAGTGACAGTGACAGCAATGTATTTTAGGTGAACAAATCGCTAAAACTTCACTCAGGTAGCTGATAAATAATAAGTTCTGTTTTATTTACATAAAAATTCGATCTCTTGTTGTGAAAGTTAGTATTGAAGAGAATCTAAAATGAAGTGTGTTCATGTGTCTAAAATACTCGAACGAACATTTATTGGAGCATTACAAGTATATAATGAGCCAGATGCGTTTTGTTTACTCTCCGCTGGCCTGTCAGTCGCACACTCGTCGCCAGTCGAGTCTGATCAGTGATGTCTCGACTGCACATTATGGTGCTGGTGCCGCTGCCGACATAACGCGGCTAGTGTGATATCAAAACAATGTTATCAAACTCTTATCACTGCCAGATAATCAAATGATGGCAATAATAAAATGAGTTCCAAGCGAAGCTTCCATTCGCTACATGCATTGTATCGTAAAAGAGACTATTAAGAATCGAAAGTGCCTGTTTCTCGAGATATATTTTTAAAAATGAGACATGCATCCAGTCGAAATGCAAAAAAGTGTTTCAGTGCAGGTAGATAGTGATTTTGCCCTATTACTGCCCAGTGGTGCTTATGAGATAAAAAAGATGGAGCCAAGATCCAGGTTACGAAAAGTGATACTGTTCTGTTTACTGCTCTCACTGTTTGGGATGGTGGCGTTCGGATACTTTTGTCCCGACCAGGTAAATATCATATCTATATGAGGAACTCATCAAGTATTAATAATAATAGATAATTAATTATTTTCCAATCAACAGTAGCAATAAATCACATATATTATACAAGAAAATAAATTAATGAATCAAAGAGCACCCACATTATAATTCTTAGATAATATAATTATACAGTATCAGTGTTATTTAAATATTTTGTGTCAATTATGAAAATATCTAAATTCTTTGAAAGTCCTTCAAATACTTATATCTGATTAACATAAGTATCAAATTAATTGTAATTAAATTGTTAATGATAAATGAATTATTATTGTTTTAAACTCTTGTACAAGTTTTATATTATGGCCGGTATGGGTATGATAGTGTGTAGTTGCACATATTATATTTTTATCCCATGTTTTATTTATACCATGGGATATTTATGTGTCTATTATCCAATAAACGGTGTCAGAAACCATGTCATTGATATAATAAAATTGATCTATATGAGAATTAGATTAAATTGATGTGATTTTTACATCAATATTGACTGACATATTTATTGTGTGTGGGATTTTTTTTTTAAGTAAAGTTGCAATGATCGTCTTGACATCTTTTAACATGATAATACTTATTATGAAAATGTTAAATTCTGTTAATATTGTAGTTGAAGAAGTTTTTAGTACAGTAAAATTCAGAACTTCCTATATATCATAATAAAAATATATTTATTTAACTACATATATGATAAAAAACTAAGAAAAATTCAAGTAATTATTTAAGACGTAATTTAATCACGAAAAATATATAAAAAACGTAATGTATACGAATAATAATTATGTATCACAAAAACGTATTAATTAACACATTGAATAGAATTAAAAATAATTTTAATACAGCTAACATTTATAAAGGTTTAGAAATTTGAATTTGTGATATGAAAAATATAAAAAATATACATAGAGGTGTCGAAATCAAATTAAAAGTAACACGGTACATTAAAAAAGTTTCTATATGTTACCGTAATGCAAACTTTATAAATCGTAGAGTTATTCAGTCCCGCATTTGTAGCGACTGCACTAATTAAAGAGGGTGGCAGCCATGCAAGTTGGATTCATTTGTTTTTGCGTACACAAACCGGGAAAAGGCCGGTTGCAACCCTTTAAGCTGCTTACGTTCCTCTATAAGAATATAAGTCTGCGGTTGAGGTATGAGATATTACGTATTTTTTAATCGGATTACATGTTCTACAGAGCAGGATTATATTGATTTAAATTTGATGATGATTTTAAACTATTATAATTATTGAAAAACAAATTAAATGTTTATATAAATTCCGAGTGTAATAACATTAAATTCAATATGAAGTGAGAGATAAAATGCAAATAATGTTAATAATATATATTAATTTCGTTATTTATGTTATAATGAACGCGATCCATTTTTCGATGTACATAATATTTAGTCATTTGTTTTCCAAGCTTTAGTGGTACGTCCATTTTTAGTAATAACTAGAAGACCTGGCGAACTTCGTATCGCCCTATAATCAAGAAATATCTATTACGTTTTTTTATTTATATTTTTGGAGTTTACCTGTAAGCCATAAATCTCCGTGTTTTGAAGTGCGACAGAATGATTGACATATTGGTTAGTTGTCAAATCTAATGTCAAAAAAAACGTTTGTATGGGAAATAGAAAAGGGCTGTTTTTATGGTTTTCCCAGTGATGAATCAATTTTTTTTAGCTTTTATACCTTTCCTGAACCTCCACGAACATTTCAAGACTAAGATAAGATAAATCCGTTCAGATGTTCTCGAGTTTTAGTGAGACTAAGGAACAGCAATCCATTTTTATATATATAGAAGATAATAATTCAAATATTTAAATCAAGGAACTGAATAAGATCGTTTACGATTTTAAACTAGAGCAAAATAAATAAAACTAATATTTTCGGATGTATTACGTGTTTTTTATTATTTTAACTAAATACTACCGACGTTACGGTTACTTTACAGCAATCGTGATCACGAGCAGACGAGATGAAAAATGTTCAATATTTTTTTTTATGGAACGTTAGTTTAAATTAATAAAAAACGAGTATATCCGAAAATATTAGTTTCATTTAAATGAATACTCAGAAAAGTATTAGATATAATTACAGCAAAATAGGTATTCATTAAGTGATGAAAGAAATAATTATTATTTATCATGTATGTTTACCACAAGTTTAAATCGTCACTACATAGGTACGTAGCGTTTCCAGTTTTTCATTTCTATATCTTCATACTATAGTATTAACTATCGCTTTTATTTTAATTTGTTTTATCTCCTGAATATCAAAAATCAAAGATATATAACTATATAAACGTACAATATTTTGTTTAATACGGTAGTGTTGTACGGTTTTTAAGGGAGAAAGTTTATTCATTTGTAATTGGCTCTCGTTTCTTAAGTTTTGTTGTATCCAATGTTAATTTGATCATCCGTATATGGGCACTGGTCGCGCGAGTTCCATATTGGATGTTTTGACGCTGGGCATTTAAGATATATTGTTGCTGAAATTAAATCCATACAGACGTGTTGTATGGAAATTTTTAATTCCGACGAAACCTTTAGGGAAACGAAAAAAAGGTATCGTTTTGTTTGCTTTTTTTAATTTCATTATCTATGTCAAAAATGCGGTTCTGTTATTTTCATTTATGCAGCGCTGTGTAGGTACGAACGAGTTTGTGTAAAGTTGCGTGTCTGTTTGTTAGAATAAAATAATAGCTATCTACTAAAAACACATTCATGTGTATATATGATGCTTACACAAATAAAAAAATCATAATATATATCTATATTGTCTGTCAGTTTCTTATAGCTAATCTCTTAAACTACTGCCTCGATTTTGAAGGAACTTTCACTGATAAACCAGATATACTTATAAATTAGCAATCCTGATCTGATTATCGAAATTTTATTGATTATTAATTTTCTCGTTAAATTTCTAAGCATGGCTAGTAAACTACGTATACATTGTGAGGTAGATTGAAATTGTTTTGTATTTCGTTCGGGTGCTAAAGAATCATCCTTATTTAGTGGAGAACCATGGCATCGTTATCCGGGCCGCGTGTTGAATGATAATGTCAAAGGATACTGGACTGGTTTCACCCACGGCGCACACCGCAACGCCTCGCCCGTTTAAACTCTAATGAATTATTTGCACTCCATTATTCACTAGCATTATCTCCCGGTTCCATCGCCGACCGGATAGTAGCGGTTCTACCAATCAATCGATCCTATTAAACTTGTAATCATTGATCAGGATAACTAAAGTTTTTGAGCTATGTTGTAATAACAAACGTTCATGAATAGATAAATGCTTATGATGTATTGTTGTATTGTATTCTATATTCGTTGGTCTAAGTGTAAATGTCATTGATTAGATAAAAATAAACTATGAAAAGCTGACCTTTCCGCCTGAGCGATTCGATTCTTCGTTTTATCTCTTGTGATATATGTGGATATGGGACGCTGTGCTGGAGCTTTTCAGACACGAATATTTTACAATGAGAAGTTTTTTATTTTAGCTCTAAAATGTATGCATAATATTTTTCTTATATACCTTAGTTTGAGCGTATTATTAATTTTGATTATCGTCGGTTAGCCTTGGAGCTTGAGGTGGTGAAATTACCACTTCTAGTACTTAAGAAAGTACGTTTCAATAAACCCTCCAATGAGTATTTGACATGCGACCATTAAATTTGTTCTCTGCTTCATGTAAATTCATTTCGTGGATTTGAAATTTAAGTAATGTTTTTGTCGTGAAGCAGTTTTTGGAAGGCTTTGTTCTGTTAGAAGTTGATAATATTTGTAAAGTATAAGTGCATTAAGGAGCTGGTAAAATTTTCTCGCTATTATCAACAAGACTGAAACTTTATAATGTTGGGTAAATTTACTGGGTCTTATAATTTTGTTACTTTGTTAACTATAATTTAGTATTTCAGTACTCGCAAATAATTATAAATGTCAATACTTTTTTTAATTCTGGTATGTGAGACATGTCTCGTTGTTTTTTCAACTTTTATTACTTGCAACAGGCCATATAGCCTAACATTTAAAGATATTTTTTTTAATCAAGCCAAAAGTTTCTAATTCATAACCTGTTTAAATTATCTAACAAAAAATATATTCCTCAGTTTAGAACTAGTACCTTAATAAATGTGCGAATATGTAAATAATTTTTTTTTTACCTTGTTTAATATTTATAAAAAATATACCAGAGTGTTTAGTATAAACATACTTTTAAATTTATTTTTAAACACGCATGGCTTTGTCGTATACTTTACGAGTTTGTCATAACGTCGGCGGAACTTTGACCACATTCGCTTTTATGTAGTCACCACAAACGCGTACTTCAGGTCGTCCTATGGTTTTGTTAGAGCTACGTTTCATAACTTTTATTCATAAACATAATCATAATAACGCTTATAAACCGATGTTTTCGCTAGCTCTAACATCCTGCTCCACTCTGCTTGTTACTTATAATGTAACATTGATTTAAAGATCGCTTAGTCACCGGCCCGGCGCCTGGAGAACAGCTCGATCACAGCGTTTCCATTGAGTATGTCCATGCATCAATGATTTGATGCTTGTAATTCGATACAAGAGCCCGCATGATAGATGAGTTGATTGATGTACGTCACATCGGTCTTGAGTTTCGCAATATATAAACAGACACACACACTGGTACATTATTTTTTTATATATTTTATAACACACACATACATACGCGCTCTTACCGTTGGCTTTGTCTGCATTTTTTAATCATAAGATCAATTTCTATTACCACAAAAGATGTCCTGTTGCTTGAAACATAATATCTAATTAGAACGAATTTTTTATCCACATAGGTTGGGCAGTTTGTGGGTGTGTTTGCGTGACAAACACACATACAGAAAAGATGATATTTATAGTAGGAAGCACCATAGATTTAGTAGGATAACCCTCAGTGACAACTAACTGGTTGTTATTTAAGACTGAAAGCG